CATGTCTTTGGCTCTGCTCCTCTGTTTGATCAGAGGGAGGACGCCCTGAGGAAACGGTGCGGCTTTCTGGGTTAAAGTGCATTCAGAAAGTGTAAAAGAAAAAAAGAAAAAAACACCACCAGTCCCAAAGTGAGTCGTAAAGCAGGGATGCTGCGAGCGTGTGGAAACTAGGTAAAAGGTCAGTGTGAAGAAAGTCAGTGAATGGAGCCGCAGCCTTGCAATTGTGAAAAACAGCTGTTTTTAATGAATCCCACATGACATCAACACATGAAGCTGTGCACGAGCTGCGTACGAGCTGTGCGCGAGCATTACCTTTCACCCACTTTTCTACTCTGCCAAAAGTTGACATGAAAAACAGGAGCCAGGCTAACATGAAGGCTCTCTAAATGAATCAATAATATAATGAAAATAAGCAAAAAGTGAAATCAGACTTGATTTTTATGATGGAGATTTATCTTCTTCAGAAACAAATCGACGTTTTAATAAAGAGAGGTGCAGGTGAATAGACTGTTCTTGTACGTCTCGGTTTAATGGCATTATCTACGTCTCCTCATCTGCCACTCTGTCCTATGGTGTACCTCAAGGTTCTGGTTTGGGGCCCGTACTGTTTGAACTGTATTTATTATCTTCTGCACCTTTCATATCATCGTTAAGTGGATAATATCTAATTGTAAATGTCTTTTCCAAATATATCTATCCTTAAGAACTGGATGGCTGCTAATTATCTTTTACTTAACACTGGGAAACTGACTGGTCCAACTCATTGTTGGACTATTGTAATTCACTGTATCTTGGCCTCAGGATTTCATCGTTGGATCGGTTACAAAATCCAGCTGCGAAGGTACCTACCAAGTCCTCCAAGTGGTCTCAGGTGACACCTAATTTGTTGCCTTTGCGCTGGCTCCCCATAAAGTTCAGACTTCACTTTAAGATCTTGGTGATCACTGTTCAAATGTCTGCAGACTCCTATGAAAATGCAGGTAACTGCTGCCTTCTCACAGAAACCTGTATACGTTTTGTATTATTTGTATAGGCTTGGCTTTAACTAGTGGATATTAATGTTGGCATCGGTTTAACTCCCTGCGTATATATCAAATTTCAAGCTATTTCGGTAAAGTGAATTCATTGTGTAGGTCAGCATCAAGGTAAAGTTAATAAAGCTGGGGGGACTTCTGGTTACAGCCAAGTAAGAAAGACCTCTTAACACATTTGACATGAAAATGGAAGAAACAGACCATATCCCAGGAGTGGAGGAGAATACCTTGAAATCTCTGAGCTTCATGGAATGATGGCAGCCATAGCACAATATGATAAAGAAAATAAAGGACTGGGTTT